ACAAGCTCAGCATCATCACAACTAAGAGTGGGCCACGGGCGATGGGGTGCTCGCCCAACACTGTCCATGTGAGGGCGCCTGCCCCGCTCCCCCCCAAACTCCCTCTCTCTCTCTCTCTCTCTCTCACACACACACACACACACACACACACACACACACACACACACGGTGCTCGCCCTGACACTGTCCATGTGAGGGCGCCTGCCCCGCTCCCCCCCAAACTCCCTCTCTCTCTCTCTCTCTCTCTCTCTCTCTCTCTCACACACACACACGGTGCTCGCCCAACACTGTCCATGTGAGGGCGCCTGCCCCGCTCCCCCCCAAACTCCCTCTCTCTCTCTCTCTCTCTCTCTCACACACACACACGGTGCTCGCCCAACACTGTCCATGTGAGGGCGCCTGCCCCGCTCCCCCCCAAACTCCCTCTCTCTCTCTCTCTCTCTCTCTCACACACACACACACACACACACACACACACACACACACACACACACGGTGCTCGCCCTGACACTGTCCATGTGAGGGCGCCTGCCCCGCTCCCCCCCAAACTCCCCGTGATACACACACACCCCCCCCCAGCAGCGGCCCTCTCGCTGTCCCCACAGTGAGCACCTGAGATGCACCCTCTGCAATCTGGCCCCAGTGGGAGGATGACAGTTTCCAGCACCAACTGCTCAGGGGTCTGGAGGCGGTCCTACATCCCAGTTGTGTCTGAAGCCCCGGAACAACCCAGGGGCCCCCACTGCTGCCACTGGGGAGCAACAGGGGGACCACCACAAGGGATGCCGCAGGCTGGGACCTTAAGTCCAGAGCCTGTTGGGAAGTCTGTGCCCGGGGACACCCCCTTCCACACCCAGGTCCCAGTGCCGCCCGTGGGAGCCCTCTGCTCTGGCCGGGGCTGGCAGCAGTAGCCACGGGCCTCGTCCACAGGGCCTGGGCCCCAAGGGAAGTGGGGCTGAAGCACAGGGGTTTGGGGCGCTCCCTTACGCTCCATCTTGGTCTCTCGGTGCTGCCAGGCGTAAAAGTTGAGCAGCTCCTTGCGGGTGCGCTTCCGTCTCTCCCTCTCCAGCACCCGCAGGCTAGCCGCCTCTGTCCGCGGCAGCACGGGCCGCCGGCCCCGGCGGGTCACCTTCACCCAGCCCTCCTCGTCCGGAACCCCTTCCTCCTCCTTGGCCTTAGCCTCCTCCTGCAAGGAACAGGCGCTGTGATGGGCAGACCCTGGGACCCCCTGCAGCCTCAGGTGCCCCTCCCCTGCCCTCCCTTTGAGGCTCTCCCTGCAGCACCCAAACCTCCCTGGGCACCCGCCGCCACCTGCTGCGCCCTCTCCCTCCCAGTAGCTCAGTATGGGGGGCGGGGGGCACAGAGGTGCCAGCACTGCCTCCTCATCCCTCAGACTGTTTCCTACAGACCAGAGACCAGACGTCACCCAGCGAGGTGACACAGGACTCAGCGGGGAAAAAGGGAGCCTGAACTCTCACAGTGACCAGCACAGGGTGCCACCGCCCATCCTCCTCTGGAGCGACACCACACCCATGACACCACCTTCCCTGTGGAAGGCCCACCTCAGCTATCCTCTTGTCATATGCCTCCATGAACGTGTCCACTTCGACCCTCAAGGCCTCAGGGTCTGGCACTGAGTCTGTGTAGTTGCTGATCCACTCTGAGGGAGAAAGGAGGGAGGAAAACGGGGCTTCCTCAGGCCCGATACTCAGGGCCCCACCTGCCCAGCCAACCAGGATCATCTTCTTCTTCTTTTTTATTTTTAAGATTATTTATTTGAGAGAGGGAACACGAGCAGGGGGAGCGGGAGAGGGAGAAGCAGGCTCCCCGCTGAGCAGGGAGCCCGATGCGGGACTCGATCCCAGGACTCCAGGACCATGACCTGAGCCGAAGGCAATCGCTTAACCGACTGAGCCACCCAGGCGCCCCCAGTCAGGATCTTCTCATACAGGCCACGAGGATGGAGACCTGTGGCCCAAGGAAGGTTCTAGTAGCAGCAAGCTGGGCCCTCCTCTCCGGCCACCCTGGGCCCAGGAAGGAGGGCGTGACACTGCCGCGGTACTGACCGTGAATGCCGCTCTTCACAGGGTGACTCTCTGTTGAAACCAGCAAAGGGCCCTTCAGGACTAAGGCAGCAGACACCCCACCTGGCTTCTGGAACACCACGTAGGCTACCTGGAAGCCCTGGAGGAGGGAAGGAGAGATGTCAGAATGCCAGCACCCCTCCCATCCTCCCGGCCACCCAGCTCCTGGCACCAGGGCTCCCAGCTGCCCTCAGCCAGACGCGTCGCTGGGCCAGGTGACATGTGCTGGGCTGTTCTGAACCGTGAAGATAACCAAGAAGTTCTCTGTAATCCTGGGGTCACACACAACCATGCTGCTAGTTTTCCAACTTCTGCCAGAGGCGACCCAGGTGAGGTGAGACACTCGGGACCTCCCTTCCCGTTACAGGAGGGACGCAGTGACAAGCGAGCTCGCCACACCCCGGGAGCGGACAGGGCGCACACTAGCTCAGACTGCGCTACGCCAGGAGGAGGTGTGGGCTCGGGAAGGGGAGACGAGACCAGGCCACAGGGCCTCAGGAAGAAGGGACTTCGGCTGGGGAGCAGGAGGGGAGCTCAGGGAGGCCCTCCAGGGCGGCGAGCAAGATGGTCTCTGAGCTCTCAGCAGGACGATGGAAGAGCTGGACAAGAAGCTGAAGGATGTGGCAAATCCAGGGAAAGGAGCAGAGGTGCTGGGGATACCGCCTGGCCACGCCCCGCACCCCCAGGCGAGCAGACCACAGCACTTGGACACTTACCGGAATGGGTGTGGGGTGAAAAAACTTTGATTTTGGCTCCTTTGGGCTGTCAGCAAGTTCTGGCTTCTCCTGTAACTCCACAGACTGGACGGGGCCGCAGGGGGAGAAGAGGCGGGACAGGCACTCCTGCCGTGGACCCGGCGGGGGAAGCACAGCATGAGGGGCTGCAGGGGCCTCAGGGAGCCTCCCTCCGCCCAGGGTGGCACGGCCAGGGGACCAGGGCCCCCAAAGGTCTCGGAGCCCATGTCCGCCCAACTGGGGGGCACGTACACAGGCCCTGAGCCAGCCACACCCTCCGCTGCACAGTCATCGAACTGCCCTCCCACAGCCCGAGCCGACAACCCTGTGAATTTTCATGTTCAAAACGGTGAGTAAAAAAAAAAACCACACCGCCACTGGCCGTGGGACACGGGAGGGAGCAGACGCAGCGTGAGACAGAATTCAGGTATAAGCTTTTTGGCTTTGTGACAGGACCCTGCAGGGACCGTGTGCCCGGGATGTTTGGTTTGTCCCTGAAAGGGATTTCTCACTTTGAAAGGCCAGCCGGCTTTCCCTGCCCCTTTCTCCGGGTGAACGATCCCCAAAGGAGGATTAAGTTCTATTTCGAGAATAGGTGGGAACGTTTCTGGGGTTATTCGGAGGTATTCTGATTTTATGAGACAACCAACTAAGTTTTCCTCCCTGAGCAGCCATTGAAAACTGGAGTTAACTGTGTGTTGTTGGGACTCAGGCTGGGGGTGAGCCTCTTGAGGGGATTTCTTGGGCGCAGGTCACGTTCTGTTTCTGGGTGCTGAGTACGTGCGTGGGTTGTTTGTGAAATGCAGCAAGTTGTAGCCCAGGGCCCGGGCCCTTCTCTGTACACACGCTACACTTCAGGAAACGTAAGACATGACACAGCCTCTCGTCTGCTTCTTTCTCTGACTGTACAAGAATCTTTTAGAAATTAGTATTTCTCTCGAGGATTCTCTCTCTCCCTCTGCCTCGCCCCCCTCACTTGCTCTCCCTACAATACATAAATCTTTAGAAGTTAATATTTCTTTTTTGAAAAACAATCTAAAATGCAGCAACACCCTTAGTTTCTCTTCTGTGAAGTTATGTAATGCAAAACTTAATCATTTTTATGAAAATAAATTAATGTCTGGATAGATTTAGAGAATAATCTTATCTTCTCTTTTTTCCTATGGAGATGTATCACTGTTATAATCCGCGAAAAACAACATGTAATCCAAAGAATCCTGGGAAATAATAAAAAAGCTTTGAGCTTCTTAGAACTATACTTTTAATTTTTTTATTTTTTAAAGATTTTATTTATTTATTTGACAGAGAGAGAGCCTGTGTGCACAAGCAGGGGGAGCGGCAGGCAGAGGAAGAGGGAGAAGCAGGCTCCCTACTGAGCAGGGAGCCCGACGCGGGGCCCAATCCCAGGACCCTGGGATCATGACCTGAGCCAAAGGCAGACACTTAACCGACTGAGGCACCCAGGGGCCCCAGACTTGACTTTTTAAAACACAGCTTTAAAAAGACATTTCCAGGTGCCTGGTGGCTTAATTGGTTAAGTGTCTGATGCTTGGTTTGGGCTCAGGTCGTGATCTCAGAGTCTGGGATCAAACCCTGCACCCAGCTCTACACTGGGCATGGAGGCTGCTTGAGATTCTCCCTCTCCCTCTGCCCCCCACCTTGCACGTGCTCATGCTCTTTCTCTCTAAAATAAATCTTTAAAAAGACATTTCTGGGGACCCTGGCTGGTTCAGTCGATAAACCATGTGAGTGACTCTTGATCTTGGGGTCCTGAGTTGGAGCCCCATGTTGGGTGTAGAGATTACTTAAAAAAAAATTTTTTTTTTTAAAGCCATTTCCTGGGGCGCCTGGGTGGCTCAGTCGTTAAGCATCTGCCTTCGGCTCAGGTCATGATCCCAGGGTCCTGGGATCGAGCCCCACATCAGGCTCCCTGCTCAGTGGGAAGCCTGCTTCTCCCTCTCCCACTCCCCCTGCTTGTGTTCCTGCTGTATCTCTGTCTCTGTCAAATAAATAAAATCTTTAAAATAAATAAATAAATAAATAAATAAATAAATAAATAAATAAAAAGCCATTTCCTGTCACAAGAGACAGAAGCAGCAGCCCTCTAGCTGCCCTCCCTTGGGGCTTCAGTTAGATGCTTCCATCTCCCAGTAAGGACCTAGTGGAGGCTAGTGGGAACCCAACCCTGCCTGGAGCTCCTGGCCAGCCCTAGAGGTTCCCCCCCAAGACACCAGCTCACCTCTGTGCAGTATGGCGGCACATTGAGGACAAAGAGGGTCCGCTTCTGAGGCCAGGAAGACTTGGTGCCTTCTCGAACTCTGTGCTCTCTCACATAGAGGTAGTGAAAAGCCTGCTGCTTTTCTGAGAACTTGATCGGAATGGCTGGACAGGAAGTGGGGGCAGGGAAGGATGGCAAGAAAATCAAGCTCAGGCTGTTCCTTTCTAGTCCCATCTGTCTGTCCATTCCATCACTGAGCCCTTCCCCTAGGCAAGGCCTGTGCAGGGTACTGTGCAGGCTGTGAGAGTGAATGAACAGAGAACCTGCCCAGGAGGGGCACCCAAGCAGGTGGGGGAGAGAAAGGGCAATTATTACAGGTGGGGAGCAAAATGAGAGGGGAGTCCAAACCCTGATGCTCCTGGGGTCAACACCAAAATCCTGACATCAGCTGGAGGCCTTGCCAGACCCTGACCACCTTTCACATCTTTTTGCCAAGTCCTCCCCCCACCACTGTGCGGGGCCTGCCACTCTGCCTTCTCTCTATCCCTCCAGTAAGCCCAGGCCTCACCCAAGCTCACACGTTTCTTTACCTGAAACATCAACCTTCTTCCCCCCACCCATTCTTCAGGTTTAACTTTACTTCCTCAGAGAGCCTTACGTGCCAAGTTAGATCCACCTGCTCTGTGCCTTGACAACGTCTCTCCCGGTCTCTGAGTCTCTATCTGTGTGATCATTTGGCTAATGGCTGACATTCCCATAATGCTAGGGGCCGTTTTCTGGTTTTCTCACGGCCTTCTTCAGAGCACACTGGGGATACAGGTGCAGCACCTGTGCTTGGGAAGCTCACATGAGAGTAGGAGAAGGCAATGAACAAAGAAGCACATAACAAGATCCTATCAAATATGAAAGAAAGGGGAAAACAGTGCAGACTGGTTGCGTGGCAGAGGCCTTTAGGCAGGCATCGGAACGGCCTCTTCGAGGAACCAACATTAAAGTCACAAGGCACAGCTGTGTGAAAAGGGCACCTCAAGTGCAAAAACCCTGAGGGTGTAAAGAGATTGTTGCTCCAGAGGAACAGAAAGAGCTCTAGGTCGGCTGAGCCAGGACATGTAGGGCCACAACAAGCCAGTAAGTTTGGATTTTGTTTTAGGTGCTAACCTGTAAAACCACTGGAGGGAGTTCAGTGGGTATGGGGTATATAGGCAGGCCTGTGAGGCAAAATCGGATCTAAATCTGGCTTTAGAAAGCACATTCCCGCACCTGGGCGAACAGAAAGAAGGCAAGGGCAAGAATAAAATCAGGAGAACCAGTTAGGAGGGCCCAGCCGGGGCCAGACCAGGAGTGGCAGAGGTGGTAAGAAGCGGGTGGGCTCACTCGTCCGGGGGAAGAGTGTGGACAGAGATGGGTTTACCCAAGGGAAGCGGTGGCCAAAATGGGCTCGTCCCGGGAGAGTGCCGCCAGACGCAAGCAGAGCGCTGCGTCCGGGACCTCGGGGCTACCGGGCCTCACACCCAACCGCGCGGGGCTCCCGGAGCCACCGCCGACGCCCGAGCCACCTCCCGGGGAAGCCTGGCCGCCGCGACTCACCTGAGTAACCGGGAGGGCTCGGAATCCCCTGCTCGGAGTCCCGCTCCCCACGCTTCCTCCTGCGCGCCACCATCTTGCCAACCGGAAGCTGCAGAGGCCGCTGGGAGTTGCAGTTCCGCGCCGGGAGCGTGCGCGTTTCCATGACCACGGCGGTCCCTGGTACCTTCAAGGCGCAACCTTTGTTTGCTGGGAATAAAGTGAGCACATAAATGTGTGCGTAAATGTTGGCGTGGAGGGAACTCAACCTTCCATTCTTCCATTCCACAAATAGCAGTGAAGACCTCATTGAAGTTGGCCGTTTTAACCACTTTTTTATTTTATTTTATTTATTTGACAGAGAGAAACACCCCGAGAGAGGGAACACGAGCAGGGGGAGCGGGAGAGGGAGAAGCAGGCTTCCCGCGGAGCAGGGAGCCCGATGCAGGGCTCGATCCTAGGACCTTGGGATCATGATCTGAGCCGAAGGCAGACGCTTAACCGAGTGAGCCACCCAGGCGCCCCTTAACCACTTGAAAGTGTACAATTCAGGGGCATTAAGTATATTCTCATTATTGTGCAATCGCCCTCCGGAATGTTTCATCCTCCCAAATTGAAACTCTGTACCTGTTTCCCCCTTCCCCCAGCCCCTGGTAACCACCATTTTACTTTGTTTCTATGAATTTAACTACTCTAGATACCTCATATAAATGGAATCATACAATATGTGTCCTTTTGTGTCCGGCTTATTCCATTTAGCATGTTTTCATGGTTAATCCACGTAGTAGCAGGTCTCAGAATTTCCTTCCTTTTCAAGGCTGAATAATACTTCATTGTAGGTATAGATCACATTTTGCTTATCCATATATGCCTGTGGACATTTGGGTTGTTTCTACTTTTGGCTATTGCGAATAATGTTGCTATGAATATTCTTTTTTTTTTTTTTAAGATTTTATTTATTTGACAGAGAGAGACACAGCGAGAGAGGGAACACAAGCAGGGGCAGTGGGAGAGGGAGAAGCAGACTTCCTGCCGAGCAGGGAGCCCGATGTGGGACTCGATCCCAGGACCCTGGGATCATGACCTGAGCTGAAGGCAGACGCTTAACGACTGAGCCACCCAGGCGCCCGCTATGAATATTCTATGCAACTTTTGTGCAGACGTGTTTTAATCTCTCTTGGATACATATCTGGGAGAATTTCTTGATCATTACAGTAACTGTGTTTCCCTTTTTGAGGACCTGCCAGACTGTTTTCCAAAGTGGCTGCATCATTTTAAAGTCCCACCAGCAAAGTATGAGGTTTTCAAATTCTCCACATCCTCACCATTATTTATGTCTATATTTTGGGTATAGCCATTCTAATGATTATCTAGTGGTATCTCATTAGGTTTTTTTTTTTTTTAAAGATTTTATTTATTTATTCATGAGAGACAGAGAGAGAGAGAGAGAGGCAGAGAGAGAAGCAGGCTCCCAAGGAGCAGGGAGCCTGATGTGGGACTCGATCCCAGGACCCTGGGATCATGACCTGAGCAGAAGGCAGATGCTTAACCATCTGAGCCACCCAGGCACCCTCATTAGGTTTTGATTTGCATTTCCCTGATCATGAGTGATGTTGAGCATCTTTTCATGTGTTCATTGGCCATTTGTGTGGGTTTTTTGTTGAGAAATGCCTACTCGGAGTCTGCTCAATGTTTTACTGGGTTATTTGTACTTTTTTTAAAAAAGATTTTATTTATTTATTTGAGACAGAGAGAATGAGAGAGAGAGAGAGAGCACATGAGAGGGGGGAGGGTCAGAGGGAGAAGCCGACTCCCTGCCGAGCAGGGAGCCTGATGCGGGACTGGATCCAGGGACTCCAGGATCATGACCTGAGCCGAAGGCATTTGCTTAACCAACTGAGCCACCCAGGCGCCCTGGGTTATTTGTACTTTTATTGTTGCGTTGTAAGAGTTCTTCATCTTTCCTGGGTGCAATTCCCTCGTCAAATACGTGACTTGCAAATATTCTCTCCTGTGGGTTGTCCTTTCACTTTCTTAAAGGTACAAAAGTTTTTAAATTTTTGATGAAGTTAAATTTATTTTTTGAGGGTATCCAGTTGTCTGCACCATTTGTTAAAGACTATTCTTTCCCCCGCTGAATTAATTGCCTTGGCACCTTTGCTGAAAATTAATGGACCAGATACATGAGGCTTTAATTTTGGACTCTCCATTCTATTCCATTGGTCTGTATGTCTATCCTTATGCTAGTACCACACTGTCTTGATTACTGTAGCATTTTACTTAAGTTTTGAAATCTGGAAGTGAGTTCTTCAACTCTCTTCTTTTCCAAGACAGTTTTGGCTACTCAGAATCCCTTTAAATTCTTTCAACAATGTTTGTAGTTTTCAGGATGTAAGTTTTATACTTATTTTAAGTACACCTATTTAAGTATTAAATTTATCCTATTTTATTGTTTAATTCTATGCTGAGTGGAATTGTTTTCTAATATGATTTTTAGGTTACTCATTGTAAGTATATCGATTGACCTTGCATTCTGCAACCTTGCTGTTTATTAATTCTAGTAGTCTTTCAGTGGATTCCTTAGCATTTTCTGTATAAAGACCATGTCATCTACAAATAGAGATAATTTTACTTTTTTCTTTCCAATCTGCATGCTTTTTTCTGCAACTCCCTGACTTCTCCCCTACCCCAATCCCCCTGGCTAGAGCCTCCAATTCAGTATTAAACAGAAGTGGTAAAGCCAAACATCCTTGTCTTGTCTCCAATCTTAGAGGGAAAGCTTTCAATATTTAACCCAGGGATTACTGATTTCACTGTGACCGAAGAACACACTGTATGAACTTAATTCTTCTACACTTGTTGAGATTTGTTTTATGGGCCAGGACATGGTCTATCTTGGCATATGTCCCATGGTATTTGAAAAGAATGTCTTCTATTGTTGGGTGGAATATTCTTTGTTGATTGGATCCTGTTGGTTGGTGGTGGTAAGTTCTTCTACATCCCTGACTGTCTAGTTCTACCTATTGTTGCAACGGGTGTTGAAGTCTTTAAGTGTAAGTGTGGATTTGCTATTCCAATTCTATCAGGTTTTGCATCACATGATTTGTAGCTCTGTTACCGGGTAAATACGTATTTAGGATTATACTTCTTGGTAGATCAACCCTTTTCATTATATAATGTTCCTCTATCTCTGGTAACTTTGTTTGCTCTGAAGTCTAATAGATCTGTTACTAACACAGCTACTTTTTGGGGATTGTTGGCATGATATGTATTTTTCAATCCTTTTGCTTTCAACCTGATAGTCATATTTGACGTGTCTCTTGCAGGTAGCATATAAATTAGGGCATGTTCTTTCACTCACTTTGGCAATCTCTTTCAATGGAGGTATATACCATTTACATTTGATATAGTGATCTTAGTGACATAATCTCACATTTTATTGTCTTTTTTTTTCTTGCCTTCCCGTGGTTAACCTGAACATTTTTTTTTAGAAATTCATTTTTATCTATCTGTAGTGTTTCTGGTTGTATTATGTTTTTTAGTGATTGCCCTAAGAATCTCATCATATATACTTAAGTTACTACCACATATTATTGTTGACATTTTACCAGTTTGGGCGAAATGTAGAAAACTTCCATTTCCCTTTGCCCTCCCCTATTTATAAAGTAATTGCTTTAAATATTTCCTCTATGTACATCGAGAACCCCATCAATGTTATAATTTTGGTTTCAACCATTAACAATTTAGAAAACTCAAGAGAAGGAATTTTATTTACCTATAGTTTTACTATTTCTGCTGTTCTCCCTTCCTTTCTGATACACGAAGTTTCCTTTTTATAAGTTTAGAGAGCTTTTTTAGCCATTATTTTAGGGTAGGTCTGCAGGCAACAAATTCCCCTCGTTTTATCTTAGAATGTCTGAAATACCCCTGAACCCTGAAAGATATTTTTTGCTGGATGTAGAATTCTCGGTTGACCCAACTTTCTTTGTTAAAAGTGTGCCACTTCTGGCCTCATGGTTTCTGTTGAGGGACCTGTCACATTGTTTTTCCCTTATAGGTGTCATTTTTCTTTTGCTTTTAAAATTTTTGTCTAGTTTTCAAAAGTTTGGCTGTGAAGTGTCTTGGTGTTAATTTCTTTGGATTTGTTTGGGATTCTTAGAGCTTCTTGAATCTACAGGTTTAGATCTTTCACCATTTCTGGTGAGTATATGGCTATTCAACTACTTCAGCCCCAATTTTTCTTCCCTCCTTCTGGTACTCTTGATTTTTTATTTTAAAGATTTTATTTATTTGACAGAGAGACACAGCAAGAGAGGGGGAGAGGGAGAGGGAGAAGCAGGCTTCCTGCCGAGCAGGGAGCCCGATGCGGGGCTGGGTCCCAGGGCCCCGGGATCATGACCTGAGCTGAAGGCAGACGCTTAACAACTGAGCCACTCAGGCGCCCCGTTGATTTTTTAGATTTTAGATTTTTTGTCATAGGTCCGTGAAGTCTTTTTTTTTTTTTTTTAAGTATTTCCTTTCTGTTCAGATTTGTTAATTTCTATTGTTTTACCTTCAAGGATTCTTTCTCTACTGCTTTTTTGGTAATTGTATTTTTCAGCTCTAAATGATCCTTTATATTTGCTGAGACTTTGTATTTTTTTTCACTTGTTTCAAGTGTGTTCATTGTTTGTTGACACTTTTATGATGACTGCTTCTAAACCCTTGCCAGACAATTCTAACATCTCTCATCTCAGGGTTGTCTCCCCACCCCCTTTTCTATTTTCCTGGCCTTTTCAGTCTATTTTTGACTGAAACATGGACATTTTGGGTTGTTATAAAGTCTGCATCTTGGGGCGCCTGGGTGGCTCAGTCGTTAGGCGTCTGCCTTTGGCTCAGGTCATGATCCCAGGGTCCTGGGATCGTGCCCCGCGCCAGGCTCCCTGCTCAGCAGGAAGCCTTCCTCTCCCTCTCCCCCCTCCCTCTGCTTGTGTTCCCTCTCACTGTCAGGTGAATAAATCTTTAAAAAAAAAGACTGCATCTTATTTAGATTTTCTGTTACAGCACACCTCCTCTGATGGGGCTGGAAAGGCACCACTTAATTACTGCCAGGTGTGGAGTTCAGGGTCCT